TCAATCTAAAAAAAAAAACAATTTTCATATATTACATATTAATATCGATATATATATATATATAGTATATTTGTATATTACGATTACGTATTAAATACTTACTGTTTTCCGTTATATGTAATAAACATAGTAATTAATTCAATATGAATAACCGTATTTGGATTAGAAAACCAGCTTGCAAGATTGATAATATCTTTTGAAGGATCAGGTAATTTTCTTTCTTTTTGATAAAAAGTAATCAAATATTTCAAATATGGCTTCATCCAAATAATAAATCGGAACCAGGAAAACCATATAGTTTTTACGGGGGATGGAGGTAATGTTAATCGAATATCTTCATTTAATACATGTGATGAAAGATGATTTAACCATCGTCGTTTTCTAGGAGCTGAATGAACGAGTGTTGATTTAATAGCTGTAACGATGTTATTTATAATTTGAAAATTTTCATATTCGATCCATGTGTTTCCAACCGAATTGTAAATATGTGTAAAGCAAGTATTATGTCGCATTTGTGGAATTAATGGTGACAAAATATCTGAAAATGATTTTTTCATATAACTTGCATTATCACTAATATATAAAATAATATTTTCAAAAGCCAAATTATAAGATAAAATTGCCGAAACAACTAATCGTGAGATAGTAGAAGAATTGACTTCTGCAAGAAATTCTGTTTTTACAAGCTTTGTAAATTTGTCAAAGCTAAAAAGTATATTAACAACGTTTCTTCCACATTCGTCAATGGTTTCATCAACCGTAATACAAACTTTTTTGTTTTGAAGTAAATTGCGCAATTTTTCTAATTCAATATCATAAACGATAGGCAAATATCGTTGTCGAAGTTGACTGGCATCTACAATTGAATTGCCTAATAAACTAAAAATTATTAATATATGATTCACTTGTTTTTTTTTTATTTTAAAAACAAACAAATAAATAAATAAATAAATATCAAATACCATTTATACAATATTTTTGTAAAAACGGTTTTAACTTTTCAACTTTTTCTAAAGGAATATCCGCTTTTGTAAAAGCTTTAATTAAATCGACATTAATGTTAATTTCTTGTTTATCGGTTACTTGAGTTTGAGTCATGGTTAAATTTTGTCGATTTGATAAAGTGTCATCAGATTCGGTGATTTTTTTTTGTTTTTCGTGTTTCTTGGTTCTTAGATGTGAATCTAGATTATGTTTTTTATGATCAATAGAATGTTTGCAAAAAGTACAATAAATTTTTCCTTTGTTTTCATAAAAATCATTTTTATACTGAGGATATCGATCTAAAATCGAAAGAATTGGTGGCATTTTTAAAAAACGTTTCTTCAGCATGTTATTATTTTATAAATTTATCTTCGCTATTGATAATTGTTTAACAAATCGGTTAAAAAACAAAGGCAATGATCACGCGATTGGTGAGATAATAGAATCTTAGCATAAAACAATGTCACTAGCTATGTTAAAATAAAAAAAATAACGCTATTTTAGATGATACATATGTACGTAACAATTAAATATGAATTTTGTTATTCAGGCATCTAATAATATTTAACAAGGCTCCGACCGGGTTATTATTCAAAATTTACTTTCCCAAAATTACAAGGAATGACATATCAATATGATAATGATAGCAATAGGATCTAACTATTCGAATTGTTGTAATTCGCGTAGTTCATCTACAAACCATTTTTCATCATTCCTTCCATATTTACTCGCAATCTTTTGAACTTCTTCTAACATGTAAATTTCTCTTACTTCCTGCAGAATCATTCCTAATTTGTTCTGTCCCCCTCCAAAATCACCCCCGTCACCCCAGTATAAATCATTTTTTGTGTGTTCGAAAAGTGGTATGTTTCCGGTTGACAGTAACATATATTTTAAACGTTCATGTTGTCCAAATTTGGCCATTAATGCAGTTCGCATCACATTTTCTTTAAAAATTTTCCCCGTATCTGGTATCCGATCTTCCCAGTCATGACGCTTATGAGGATCATAGTATCGGCTGATCTTAAAGGCTTCCCTCGCCGAACAGGCTTCTCGAATTTCATTATAAATCCATTTGTGTTCAAACTTTTGAGCTTGAACTACATATATTGATAAAATAAAAACTTAATTAATCTTGGCTGAAAATTTTGTAAATTTGTAAAACAACATACAATAATTTTCCGTTGTTGGCCATTCGACATCATCAATTATAACGGAAATTGGGAAGAAATTAGTGAATTCATAGTATGGATCACATTTGCTGTAAAAATGAATGGGTGATCTTTCGATAGATTGTTGAACCTGGACAAAAAGAAATTCTATTTAATAATAAATTAATAATAAATCATTAAAGCAACATGGTGAAAAAAAATGAAACTTACTCTACATCTTTCGAATAATAATTCTTTAAAAGACTCTTTAATTTCAATTTTATTATAAACAACAATAACGAATGATTTATCTTTATCTTTTTCAATCCTCCATTTTAAATGTGAACGAAAATTTGATTCACTGACTGGACGAATGATTACAACATCCAAGGTA